ATGAAGAATTGGATATTGAAATTTGAAAAGTTATGTAGGAGTACAAAGGACCAAGAAAAGTAAAAAGAAAAAAAAACAGTGTTGGAAGACATTTATTACCTAATTTTAAGACTTCTTCTAAAGCTACAGTAATCAAGGCAGTGTTGGTGTAAGGAAAGACATATAGACCATTGGAATAAAGCAGAGCATCTAGAAGTAGAACCACATATATATGGTCCACTGAGTTTTGAAAGATTATTTAACATTAACATTTTATAGAACATAAACTCAAGAGCACAGGAAAAGATAGTGTTTTCAGCAAATGGTACTAGAACACCTGGTATCCATATGTAAAAAATTAACCTCAACCCTTTATTTCCATACATAAAAATAACTTGAAAGGATATATGAATCTAAATATGAAAGACTAAAACTATAAAACTTTAAGAAGAAATTATAAGGGAAAATGTTCATGAATTTAGGGTAGGTAAGAATTTCCTATGATATAAAAACATGATGTATAAAAGAAAAAATTTGATAAATGAGATTTCATCAAAATTTAGAACTTTACATGACATCGTTAACAAAATGAAAAGTAGTCCTTAAACAGACCATATTTATAATACATATAATCTATGACCAGAATATATAAAGAACACTTACAGCTCATTAATAAACAACCCAATTAAAAAGTACACACAAGAAGATGATAAATAGCCAGTACAGCACAAGGAAATGTGTGTAACTCTAGAATCAGAAAAATACTAATCAGTACAATTGCAAGACTGTATTATACACTCATTAGGGAGATGAAGTTAAAAGGTTTAAAAGAACAAATGTCAGCTTAGATGTGAACCAGTCAGAACTTTCTAATACTGCTAATGTGAACATAAAATGATAAAACCATTTTGGAAAACAATATGGAAATTTCTTGTATTACTGTTAAGAACTAACAGTTCTGTTCTTAAGTTTTTACTTAAGAGGAATGAAAACACATGGTCACAATAGATTTGTACATACAAGTTGACTATCCCTTATCTGAAATTCTTGGGACCAGAAGTG